GAAATTCAGAAATTCAGAAATTCAGAAATTCAGAAATTCGGAAATTCAGAAACTCGGAAATTCGGAAACTCGGAAATTCGGAAATTCAGAAATTCAGAAATTCAGAAATTCAGAAATTCAGAAATTCAGAAATTCGGAAATTCAGAAACTCGGAAATTCGGAAACTCGGAAATTCGGAAATTCAGAAATTCAGAAATTCAGAAATTCAGAAATTCAGAAATTCAGAAATTCAGAAATTCAGAAATTCAGAAATTCAGAAATTCAGAAATTCAGAAATTCAGAAATTCAGAAATTCAGAAATTCAAAAATCTTGAATCTCAGAAATTCAGAAATTCAGAAATTCAGAAATTCAGAAATTCAGAGATTCAGAAATTCAGAAATTCAGAGATTCAGAAATTCAGAAATTCAAAAATCTTGAATCTCAGAAACTCGGAAATTCGGAAATTCAGAAATTCGGAAATTCAGAAATTCGGAAATTCAGAAATTCAGAAATTCAGAAATTCAGGAATTCAGAAATTCAGAAATTCGGAAATTCAGAAACTCGGAAATTCGGAAATTCAGAAATTCAGAAATTCAGAAATTCAGAAATTCAGAAATTCAGAAATTCAGAAATTCAGAAATTCGGAAATTCAGAAACTCGGAAATTCGGAAACTCGGAAATTCGGAAATTCAGAAATTCAGAAATTCAGAAATTCAGAAATTCAGAAATTCAGAAATTCAGAAATTCAGAAATTCAGAAATTCAGAAATTCAGAAATTCAGAAATTCAGAAATTCAGAAATTCAGAAATTCAGAAATTCAGAAATTCAGAAATTCAAAAATCTTGAATCTCAGAAATTCAGAAATTCAGAAATTCAGAAATTCAGAAATTCGGAAATTCAATAACTCGGAAATTCGGAAATTCAGAAATTCAGAAATTCAGAAATTCAGAAATTCAGAAATTCAGAAATTCAGAAATTCGGAAATTCAGAAATTCAGAAATTCAGAAATTCAGAAATTCAGAAATTCAGAAATTCAGAAATTCAGAAACTCGGAAATTCAA